CCTGGGTTGGCCTTGAACTGCAGTCCTCCCCATCTACACCTCCTTAGTAGCTAGGATTGAGCCACTGCACCTGCGAATTGGTGTAGTGTGTGGAAAACCTATAGCCGGCAGACCTCCTGTAGAAACTGAGCGTGTGTGGGTGGCAGCGCACCAGCATCCCCAAGGTTCCTGCGCAGGGGCTGACCTGGGGCTTTCCACTTCCCCGCCTTGCTCCGCTTCAAGTCCAGGCCAAGGATGTCACAGAGCGCCGTCAGCTCTATGAGGGCCAAAGGAGGGACCTTCTTCATATCCTGCGAGGACAAGTCTCCTATCCTCGTCACGCCGAGCCTGCCGAGTCTGCCTTTGGCGACTCTGAACTTCTAAGGAAGGGAGCAAGGACAGTTTGTCCGACTGAGTGCCATGTGTGATGTGTGTGCCGAGGCCCCACCACCCATCCCTGCAAGCATTTGGGTTGGAGGGGGCGGAGGGCGAGCAGTGGGCTGAGAGCCAGGTTCAGGAGACTCGAGGCCGAGCTCTGCCTCACACCAGCTGGTGACATTCTGAACCTGATTCTCAGGCTGGAATCACAAGTACTTTCCACCTCAGAAGGCTGTTGTCTGTGTAAAATGAGCTTGAGGTTAGCACAGTGCCAAATGCCAGGTTAGCAAGCCTCCAATAAATGTGAGTTGTTTGCATGGCCTACAATACAACCAGAGGGCCTGGGGGAGCGGGATCACCCCAGGTGCCTCTTATCCCTGTCCAGACCCTAGCCTGCCATGCATGGCTCAGTGCTCCTCTCCTCTCCTCTCCTCTCTGCATGATAAAGTAAATGGTGCTCAACTGTGACCTCTAGAGGCCATCTTGGGGCTCTGCAGGCATCTCTAAGCATTCTGCAGTTCAAGGTCAAACAGCAAGCAAGAGGGGCCAATCTGTTCAGCCTTGCCTGAAGGACTTGGTCAGCCTATCCCCCCAGTGCCCTGCTGGAGCTCTCAAGGGAAAGGAAGTGTTCCATTGTTGTACTTGATATTGTTATGGTTAAAATCCAGCCCAGTGCATGGGCTGAGTTGTACTTCCCGAATTCAAATCCTGACTTAATCTTGCGTTCAGGCAGATATTATTACCCATTTGGTGTCAATTTTCTCATCTGCACAGGGGAACGAATATCAGTGCAATGTCTGGATGTTGAATGGTCCCCAAAGGTCTGTGTGTTAAAGGCTTGGTCTCCAGGGTGGCTCTAGTGAGAGGAAGTGGGACCTAGTGGGAGGTCCTTAGGTCACTGGGCATATCTTTGAAGGAAGTTATGAGATCCTGGTCCCTTCCTGTCTCTCTTGTTTCCTGGCTCATATGGTGAATGGTTTACTGTGCCACAGCAAAGCACAGACTTCCTAATTGGAGTGGATTCTCCAGGACCATGAGTCAAAACAAACCTTTTATAAGTTTACTGCCTTAGGTATTTTGTTATAGTGATGGAAAACAGACAATACAACATCACAGTACTATTGAAGAGCTAGAGTATACACAGCACAGTGCCTGACACACAGTGTATACTTGATAATTATTAGCTGTTACTATTTTTGCTTATGCAAATGATTACCACTAACACTACAGTGAAATGAAATCACAAATGTAAAGTACTTGGGAGAGTGCCTGGTCTGTGGTCAAAAGTCAATATGTAGCTAGATGCTGGTGGCTCATGTCTGTAATCCTAGCTATTTGGGAGGCTGGGATTCAGAGGATCGAGGTCAGCCCAGACAAACAGTTTGCAAGACCCCCATCTCCAAAATAACCAGAGCAAAATGGACTGGAGGTGGGCTCAAGTGGTAGAGTGCCTGCTCTGCCAGCAAGAAGCCCTGAGTTCAAAACCCCAGTTCTACAAAAATGTCAACATGTGACATCCTTAGTACTATTACCATCATTCACTGTTTAGTGGGAAAAATCGTCAAGAAAGAGGTCAAGAGTGTGCAGAGCATTAATTATCTCTGATTTTTTACATAAGTATTTAGGTGAGCAGGCTTAGTGATGCATGCCCGTAATCGCAGCTACGTTGGGGGTAGATTCAGGAGACTTGTGAGTTTGAGGCCAGCCTGTGCAAGTTAGAGAGACCCTAGCTCAAAAATAAAATTAAAAAAAAAAAACAACAGGCTATTAGGTGTGGCTCAAGCAGTAGAGCACCTGACTAGCTGAGTTAAAACTACAGTACTGCCTAAATCAATGAATAGATAAATAAACAAAGGGACCAGGGAATGGCTCAAGTGCAAAGCACTTGCCTAGCATCCCTAGTACTGAAAAACAAGGAAGACAGGAAGGAAGGCGACTGTATCTGCTGAACTATGACTATGGAAGACATTGTCACTGGAAGAAACTAAGTGAAGAGGACACGGGGACTCTGCTATTTTTGCAGCTTCTTGTGAGTCTAAGATTATTGCAAAATGAAAAGCTTGAAGTGAAATTCCATTTGGATGTAGAGAATAGTGGCCAGTGGGAAGGCTCTGGGGTCCAGCAGCTGTGGGCTCCAGTTCTCATTTCCATGTCAGCCAGCTCTGTCACTTCACCTCTCTGAGCCTCACTTATCCTTTTTCTATCATAAAGTGGGGGTGCAATGAAGTGCTCATCTCCCAGGGAAGGGAAAGGCTACAAGCAGGAGCATGGAAAGACTGGGGGCCAGGGCCAGGGCAGCCCTCAGGGAAAATGTACCCAGGACTACCCAACCGGTCCAAAACGTGGTCAGTGAAGGAATTTCCTTTAGTAGCAGCAGAGCCTGGGAAAGACCAAACCCCATGAGAGAAGCCAGGGAAGCCTGCCTGGGGTGGGGGGACTGCCTGGGAAGGGAATGAGGAAGCTTTTTGGGGGGTGTGGGGAGTGGAAGGTTCTAGACCTTGATCTGGATGATAGCTACCTAGGTATGCAGTAGCCAGGGACTAGGGAGCAGGGAGCCCATATCTGGTAGCACTATTGGTATTTTCACTGCTAGTTTTCTTTGCTTTTTTTTTTTTTTTTTCTTTCTTTTTAAAAAATTTATTTTGGCAGCACTGAGGTATGAAGTTTTCTTTGCTTTTGTTCCTAGAAAGTTCTCCCTTGTCCAGCAAACTATCCAACTATAGCTTTGGCAGAGTGGCTTAAATGGGAGAGTACCTGCTTTGCAAGCATGAATCCCTGAGTTCAAACCCCCACAAAAAGAAAAAAAAAAAAAAGTCAGTTGAGTTTACTGGACTGTGGGCATGGCTCAAGTGGTAAAGAGACTGCCTAGCAAGAACAAGGCCTTAAGTTCAAACCCCAGTACTACCACAACCAAAAAAAACAAAAACCAAAAAACCCACCATCAATAGCTTCTCTAGTTATTTCCAAATTAATTTTGGGGCTTGATGTGTGAGAGCCACACGGTGGTTTTTTTGTTTGTGTGCTGTGTGTGTTTTTCAATTGTTCAGTTATTCTAGTGCATTAGGTATCTAACTTATAGTAAAATGCCCAGAGTAAATGATTCAATGACATCTCTGCTGTGTGCCTGGCAGTAATGGAGGTGTGAGGAGGGTGGGCCAGGATGTACTGGTGCCTAAAGACCTTTGGGCAATGTCCTTACCGGTAGGGGACCCTTGCCCCAGGCACAGGTGCCTCCTTGAGATGGCCTGGCCCTCTGAAGGAGGGAAGCAGCTTGTTCTGAGTAGGCAGCGTCCATGTTGAAGACTTCCTCCCTCCCAGCCTGCTCCTGTGGCCTGTCAGGCTCAGCTGTTCCTGGGGAATCAAAACAGAGAGACAGTTAGGACTGGCTACCAGGGAGCAAGTTCCTAGGCTTTGGACTCAGGCCCACTGCCCTAGGAAGTGATTTCCTCACTAGGGGCTTTCTGGACTGATGCCCATGAGCCTGATAAGAATAGTCCATTTAAGGGTCCACCTTGTCTCCGCAGCGCCCCTTCCTCTGCCCTCAAGCAGGGAAGGGAAGAAACCAGCAGGAAAGAGGAAATGCTTAGAGATACGCAAGCTCTCAGTTCACAGAGTGCACTTGTGCAGCCTGGAGACCACTTACCTGGAGGAGACTTAGAAGCCCTGGAACTGAGCTGGGTCCGTTTCATTCCTGAGTCCCCATTCTCTAAAGACACTTCCTATGCAAATTAGAGGTGGTGCTCAATTAGTCCTGTGGGAAGCAAGTGATACTCACATAGTCCTGGAGATAGGAACCATCACAAATGGAGCAGCTGAAGCTCAGAGAGGCTAAGTTACCTGCCTAAGACCCCACAGCAGCTAAGTACATGGGGAGGCACGGTGGGACCCAGGGCTGTCTGGATCCAGTGCCTGTCATTTTAATCACTGAGCTATGCTCCTTCAGATTTTCTCCAAGGAGGAAAATGCCCACAGCCTGTCAGACTTCAGGTGCCAGCAGACACACCAGTGACAACAGAGTGTTGTAACTGTGCTGATACTTAGGCAGAGAACCTAAGCTTTCAGGTCCACCCGAGCACGGGTAGCAGCAGGCACAGGTACACTGGCATGCACAGCAGAGAAAGATCTGCATTCAACATGGTGACACAGTGGCCTGAGGGAGCACGTGTGCAAACACGCACCCACAGGCCTCAGCAGAGACACCGTACCTCTTGGGCTGTGGTGGCATCACGGAGGCCCCCAGGCAGAGAGGGCTTGCAGTGATGTTTTTGCCACTTACTCACCCCTGAACTGAAGACCCCAAAGATGTTCCTGACATCTCTGATGGGTGCCTTGTGTCGTCTTCGGGCTGAACGGGCATAGACGTCCAGCCGGCGGCACACAGCAGTCACCTGGGTCTGTGTCAGTGTAGACAGGAGCCCTTGGTGATCACCATCCAAGCCTGGGCCACCAACGAGGCTTGACAGGCCTGTGTCCTGCAGCCACTGGGCTTCAGCTTCCCCTTTGGCCAACAAAGGGAGAACAGCAGATGAACACACAGCTCCACACTCAGCCACACACACTGTCCTAAGCCCCACAGAGATTGCCCCCACTCCAGTGGACGCAAGGGGTATCCACAGCTCATTGCCAGATCATTGACACCCACCTGGCTCTCCCTCCCTATGAGCAAGAGCTAATGCATCCTCTGAGAATTGGCACTGTGCCACTTGAGCCACACACCAAGTCCTTTTGCTTTGTTTTTCATATAGGGTCTTTTGCTTTTGCCCAGGTCTCAACCTCAGAGGGAGCTCCTCCTATCTCTGCCTCCCAAGTAGCTCAAACCACAGTTGTGCCTCACCACACTTGGCCCATTGTTTAACTTATTGAAAAAAGTCCCTGTGTCTATTCACTTCTCCGAAGGCCTCCCCCTTCAACACTTTCACTCCAGGGTTTGGTTTGAAATTAGATTACTGGCCATACCACAATGCAGACAGACTTCCCTTCCTGAAGCCACTCCAGGCATTTCTTGAAGTCACTACACGTGACTATCAGCCCTCGGGAGGTCTGAGTGCCATACGGTCTGCTTTGTCAACTGTGGGTCAGCACAGCTGAAGCATTTGCCAAACCAAGAAGGTCTCCGTGTGGATGGCCTTGTCTTTCCCTCATCTGCTGGCCAAGGAAGGCTGGGGTCTGGGACGGTGCCAGGCTCTGCTGCAGACACTAAACCCATGGCAGAGGGAAGGACTGCCCATGCCACAGCCTGACCCAAAGGTGCATTCTGTGGGGACACGGGCAGTGCACAAATAATACACTAAGCAACATCAGGGTGCAAGGACTGCTATATTAAGGAGTAAAGTTGGGCAAGGGACAGGAGAGTGTCACAGGTAGGGTGCTGTCTCACAGAGGTGGTTGTGAGGTGCTTTCTGAGGGGTGACGTGTGCCCAGAGATGGACAAGCATAAGCCGTGCAGTTCCTCAATGCAGAGCATTCCAGGCCTAGGGGACAGTAAGGATAAAAGATCTGAGGCCACGGATTGCTTTTATGGTTCGGTAACAGCAAGGACATTCAAGGGCAGATATGAGGGTCAGAAAGACAGGCTGGAAGGGGATGAGGCAGAGAGGGGATACAGGCCAATTGTGGAGAGCCTTGTGGGCAATGAAGTAGTGGACTTACCACTTGTCTCCGAATTCTTTTTATGTATTTTTTTTTGTACTGGAAATTGAACCCAGGGCCTCACAACTGTGGGGCAAACATTCTACCACTTGAATCACACTCTCAGTCTTTATGTTTGTGTTTTTTTGTCTTTCTGAGGTAGGGTCTTGCTAATTTTGTCCAGGATGGCCTTGAATTCATGATCCTCCTGCCTCCACCTCCTAAATAGCTGGGATTACAGGTGTGTACCACCATGCCTGGATCTCATCCCTAAATTCTTTGATGCTCACTCCATGGAGAGGTAGAGTCTGGTTTCCCTTCCTTGGAATTTGGGGTGCACAGAGGGCGATAAAATGCAGCAGAAGTGATGCTGACTCTCTTCCAAAGCTGGTCAGGAGCAGTGACCCTGGTTCTTTCTCAGGGCTCTTATTCTTGAAACCCAGCTGCCATGTGTGAGGAAGCCCAGTCTACATGCAGAGGCCAGGGAGAGGAACTCCTGACCTTGAGCAAGAGCTGCCTGACTGCCGAACCCAATCAATCCCCAGAACAGTGAGCTGTATTAATAATAATTGCTCGGTGTTGCTTTACACTGCTAAGTTTAAGGTGGTTTGTGATGTGGTTACAGGGACACGTGGCCATCTGTTACTCTGAGAAAGATGGGGAGACATTTGAGAGATGTGTGTAAGGGCTGGGGCGTGGCTCAACTGGTAGAGCACCTGCCTAGCAAGCATGAGGCCCTGAGTTCAAACCCCCAGTACCGTCATTAAAAAAAAAATGTTGAGAGTTGTGTGCAGAACCCTTAGAATCCACTAGAATGTTAGCTCCTCAGAGAGGAGGCTGTTTTGTATCCCCAGTGACTAAATAGTGCCCAGCAAATAAGAGATGCTAAATAAATGTTTCCTAAATGACTTACTCTAAAGGGGAGAACTCTATCTAATTCACATTATCAAAGGGTCGTTTTGACAGTGGTGCGGGGAGCAAATGGCAGAGTAAGGGTGAAGCAGAGCAATCAGTGAAAAGCATACTGCAACCCTTTCAGTCTTGGTTCAGTCTTGGTGACAGGTCTGGACCCTGTCACATCTCTTCCCCTGGAATAAGGCCCTTCCATCCATCCTCACCCTCAGGGAGCTGGGCTTCACCCCTTCCATCCTCCTCTTTCTGCTCATCCCTCTGTTGAATCCGCTGCATTTCCATCCAGAAGCCATTCACAAACAAGCTCTTCTCCCATGCTGAGCACAGCACAGAGCAGCGGGCAGGTGGCCGCTCCTGCAGAGGCAGATTCCCAGGTCCTGCAGAGGGGCCAGAGCTGTGGCAAGAGGGAGGGAGGAGGGAAGTTAGGGCAGGCTCTGCTCTTGCTGGGTCTGCCCTAAGGTTTGGGCCTCTCTAGAAATCAGTCTGTAGCCTCTGGAGGCTAGACATCCCGTTGTTCATCTTGTCTCTCAGCAGTGAAAGACACATGACAATCTCAGCAAATTGATCAGGGACCCATGGCCCGGTCAGAATCTTTGGTAGGAAGCCAAGGTACTGCTGCAGAGGACAAAGGGCCAGTTTGGTGCTTCCTCTGCTCCTACAAGGATGACAGTCTTCACTATGCCTGGGGGTTGGGGGGTGGAGGGGACACTAGAGAGAGGGCATGAAGCATGGGCCAGCGGAGCAAGGAAATCCCAATGGGTTTTACCCAAAAATCTACCTTCTCCGTCCCCACTTTCTCTGTGAAGCTCACAGCTCCAGCCCTGGTTTCCCCATTTATGACTTCAGGGAAAGCACCAGACCACAGAGGTGCAGGACTGAGTGTGAGGGGTGGATGTCAGAGTTGACGTCAAGTATGTGAGGAGACGGTGGGGCTAGAGGGCCAGTCTTCCTAGGGAAGCAGAGGGGACCCTCCCTCTGCAGCCAGAGGTGTGGGGTGGTGATCACAGCTTGATTTTTCGGGTACAAGTCGCAGCCTCTCATGACTTGGACTGTGGTTTATCCTCAGACCTGACTCCTGCATCCTATGCGTCAGTCCCCCTTTTCCTCACAAGCCGCGCTGAATGAATTTCCACTTTGTGATATCAAATAATCCCAGGATAATACAGAGCAAACTCCAGGTCCAGATAAGTAACAGTCCAGGGCTTCAAATGAGCTTGGGGTGATATTTCTATGCTGCCAGTCAGAGCCAGATTCTTTGGGAAATGTCGGAGTTGGTAATAATCCCAAAAGCACCGGAGTGGAATCCACACTGACCACAACATACAGCAGCCACCAGACCACGAACTGCCCCTTCCAGACGAGAAGGAGAGAGAGGAAATGCATCCCCTCGTTCCTCAAGTGGAGAAAAGGTACATGATGCAAAGTCTATAGATGTTTGCGCTCAATATTGATCCAAGCCAAAGTTCTTTATCTCAGGATGGAGATTTAGCTCAAGCTCAAGTGGTAGAATGTCTGCCTAGCAAGCACACGGCACTGAGTTCAAACCCCAGTACTACCAAAAAAAAAAAAAAAAGATTTTTCTGTCTCTTTTCCAGATAAACAATAAGCACAGATGGTTTGAACTGCTCTGCTGAAAAGGAACTCAATTTGGTTAAACACAAAAGTCATCCAAATGCTGCTTTTTAAAGTTATATAATACAAAATGGCAGCTGTCAGAAGTAGGAGGGTGACGGTCTGAGGGTGTAGCTCAGCGGTGGAGCACTTGCCTAACAGGCATGAGGCTCAATACCAATCACACAAAAGCACAAAGATGGCAAAATGTTGGCCTGCCTTCCCTCCTCCCTCCCCTGCACAACAGGGACAAAGGCACCAATATTACTTTCAGATTAAGATGCCTTCTTGGGAGCAGGGGACATCCACAAAGAACCCATGGTACTTAGGAATGTTCACACACCTAAGAGCACAGCAAAAAATATGAACAAGAAGTGTTCGAAGCATGAAGTGGGCGGCAATAGGTCCATCTCCTCACCGGTCTTCTCCCCACGGGAGCCCGGCTTCCCAGTTCTCCAACTCATCTCTTTCTCACCTCCCTGTCTTTGTAGAATTTGTCCCCTCTGCTGAGGACAGGTTTCCCTGATCCGGGACACTGTGTCCCTCTTACATGTGCTCTGGCCCATTCTTGCTGCTCTAGAAATCACCTGGACACAAGAACTTAGAGACAGGGGGTCCCCATGTCCAGGACTCTGCAGGAGGCTGTTGGCCCATGAGACGAGGGGTGGGGGTAAGGGGCACAACATCATATGTGAGTGGAGCGCAGAGTGGACACTCTCCGTTGTGTAGCAGCTGTGACCTCATCCCTAAACCCTGCCACATGTTCTGTGAGTGACTATGATGGGTACAGCGTTTCTGACTGGGTGATGAAAATGTCCTTAGGTAGATTATGACGGTAGCTGTGCAACTGAGAACACAGGAAAGCCCGTGGACTTGTACTGTGTCAAGGGTCAACCCTGTTGACTCGCCCCTTTGTGCAGAGGTAGCCATAGAAGAGTTAGGAGTGAGGCAGGCTAGAAGTAGGAAAAGGTTTGGGGATCATGTAGATTGCCCGGGGATGGCCCAGACCCCCGCCTTCCCCACTCATTCCTTATTGAGTGGGAGTCTCCTGGGCCTGACCTCCCATGGGGTCGTGTAGGTTTAAAGGCACCTGAAAAGGATAAGCTTTCTGTCTACCAGTGGACTCCACCTGCACCCTCTGTGCAGGTCCTGCTCCTTCCCTTTTCCCACCTGGCAGAGCGGGTGACTCCTTTCCCTCAATAAAGCTATCCTACCTCACCCCATCCACGTGCTCTGCTTGGATTTTCCATTTGGAGCACGAAAACCAGGATCTTCTGATCACAGACTGCACCAGTGCTGTTAACTGAAGGACAATTGCTGAGTCAAAGGCTCTGGAAATTCGATACTTCTGACCAAATTGCCCTTGAAGAAGGATTGTTCTAGTGGATTTAGTTTGTTGTGTGCTGACTTTGTTCCTGCTGTATACCTGGCCTCCCTCTGTAGTCTCCTGTGTCTCAGTCCCTGAAACTGTATTTTGCCCGCAGGCTGAGACCCCTCTCATTAGAGTCTCCCCAGCGCCACATGTGTGACTTCCTGCTCTGCTGTCACCATCTTAGAATTCTTAATTTTTTTTTTTCAGTGTTGCTATTCAAACTCAGGGCCTTATTCATGTTAGGCAAGTGCTCTACCACCAAGCTACATCCCATCCCAGCCCTTTTTTGTTTTGATTTTGAGAAACGGTACTACTCTGTAGCCCAGGCTGGCCTGAACTCACAAGCCTCTTGCCTCAGTTTCCTGAGTGCTGGGATTATAGTCATGCACCACCATGCATGGTAATAATCTTTTGATTCAGGCCCCTGTGCTCTTTTTTGCACATGGCCTGTCTTGCCAGTTCCTTGCCTAGGGTCCCTGGCTATGCCTTCCCCGGTGTCCACCCACCCACTGAGCTCCACAGTGAGGTGTAAATAATTCCATCCTGAAACACACTCCAATGTGGTAAAGTGCAGAAATCTCCGACGTGCCCCAGCCCAAGGAAGAGACAAGGCACGAGGCCTTTCTCCTGGCAACAGCTTGGCCATTTTCCCCAAGCAGAAGCTTAACTGGAGACCAGTCCCCAGTTAATTATAAAATTGGCTGTTCTGCTCTGTTTATGCTTGCGGAGAAAAGTGCGAGCCAGCGCCTCCTGTGCATCTGTGTGCGCCCCATGCTGGCGCTCGGCTCTGTTTCTTCAGCAGCTCTCCCCTGCGCTTGGAAATTACCAGCATCTGTGTGTTTTCGTGACATTTTGAAAACTGTGGCAACTAAACCAAAACAAAAGTCGTCAACGGTGTCACCATTTGATAGCTTAGCAGCGAGGGGGAGAGCAATGATTTCTGGAGAGGTCACAGAGAGGCAGGGAAAATACAGGAAGAAATCAAACACCTGCAGCTCGAAAGCGGTAATTGGTCCAACGTCACATTTTGCACCATGGCCGTGAGACTCCCTGTTAGCAGGACAACAGGACACGTGTTTAGCACATCCACAGAATTCGTTCAGAGCCTCACAGACAGACAATCTTTTGGATCGTTTTGTTGGTAACACTCGGGTGATGTCTAGGACAGGCAGAAAAGCATGTGAATGGCTGTCTTCAATTTGGATTTAGATTTTAAACTTACTGAGCACTTACTGATCAAGTACTGATCATTTACTGTGTCTAGCAGCAGACACAACCAAGCTTCAGTTTAATGTATCAGCCCCATGTTGATGGAAACAGGAGGACAAGGGAGCCACCTAGACTTACCCAGTTAGCATGTGGCAGAGCCAAGATTAGAACACAGGTTGTGAGTTCCAGAGTCAATGCTCTTAAAGGCTGCACCCATGGCCTAGGGAGGCCCCAAGGTGACCTGAATGGGTTGACTTCCCTGCTGTACACCTGCTCCCCTATCTGAGTCTCCTGTCTCAGAAGTTACCAACTGAGCACCCCAAGAGCCACTCCTGACAAGCCCGTAACACTCCACATCCCAATAACCATGAACGAATTCTGCTCTTTGTATATCTTGTATACCTAGCAGCCTCTCCCATTCTCATGGCAACTGTCCTGGTCCAAGCCACTATTGCCTCTTGCCTGGACCACCCTCATCACAGTCTTTCTACATGACCTCTAAGTGTCATTGATTCCCAGAGATAATCCAAGCTCACAGAGGTGGCCTATCAGTCCTTTCTTAGAATCCTTGGTGGAGTGACAGGACCCCAAGGGTAAGATCCAAGTGCTTTCTTCTGACCTGCCTACATTTCCAGCCTCCTCTTCCATCCTCTCATCTCCCCTCTGCCTGGAATGTCCTTTCCTTGTCTGGCCAGCTGCCCATCAGGCCTCAGACTCTTTGCTCCCTAACCTGGATCAGGATTCTGTATTTGCTTTTGCTGAACCCTCATTCATTTCTACTGGAAAAGCATGTCTTGACCCCATCACTCACTGCAGTCTCCCCAGAGCTAGAAACACTGCCTGGCACACAGTAGATTTAGCAGATGTAATAAAAGGCCCTCAAACTCCTTGACACTCCTCCTGGGGAAGGTGTCCCCTCCCTTTGAATCTGGAAGGCTGTGATTGTTTCAACCAAGAGAAGATAGCAAAAGTCAAGCCGTGGGGCTCCTGAGTCCAGGTGGTTTGTGATCGCGTGGCTCTTCTGATCTCAGCTTGCTCTTTCTTGGAACCTGTTGCTATGCCGAGAAGCCCAGGCCATGTGCAAGGCCGCAGGCAGGTACTCTAATCAACAGCCCTATCTGAACCTAACCCTTGCTCGTTTCACACAGGTGTCAGATGGCTCCAGTCCCCAGTGTGACGTCATTCCCCACCCATTTAGTCCA